ACTGTCCAGTTTTGTGTCCCGGTGATTTGCTCTTCATTGCAGCATGAACATTTTATCACACACTTCGGGATACTTGAATGACATTCCACTCAGGACTGTTTCCTGGTTAGGTTCCAGCGAGTTGGTTCTGACTTGAGGTGGTCCTGTGCACAACAGATTGAAAAACTCCCTCATTTGGTGCCGTCCCCCTAATCATTATTATGTTTGAGGCCATTGTTGCAGCTACTGTTTCGGTCCATCTGGTTGAGGACTGTATCATAGTTTATTTAAACATTTATTTGAACATTTAGGTCCAAGTAATAGTCTCACTACCATTTAGTTGATGCTGACTCATACGCCCCTATAGCACAGAATTGAACTGCCCCTGTGAGTTTCTGAGGCTATAACTCTTAACAGAAGTAGAAAGCCTGATCTTTCATCTGTGGGTTGACTCTCTGTTTCCAAGCCCCTGGCCTTGTGTACCCCCTTTTGCCCTTCCTTGTTTTTCCCGACTTCCCCACCCCACTTCATTGCCTAGAGTTGAGGTAGGACAGGGCAGAGCTGCCCCGGTGGGTTTCTGAGATGGTTTATAGGAGTAGAGCCCATCTTTCTCATGTGGATCAGCTGGTGGTTTCCAAGTAGTATTATGCTGCCATAAAATAAAAGATAGGCATCTTTATGTACAATCTTTGTCTGCATCTCTGATTATTTCCTTAACTTAGATTAGTGTGATTATTAATTAAAAGAGATATATTTCATTTTGAAGAATAAACATAACTGACATACTTCTAGAAGCTAGGCTCACTGGCCGTTTGCTTTCACTGGCTCCTCAAGTTCACCTGACAAATGAAGTGGGGCAGGAACATGCAGCTGCCCGCTAGAAAATAAGCAAGGGCTTATTTCGCTTACACGCGAGATCAGTGACCTTGCTGGGTCTTGTGTTCATGGTCTAGAATGGGTAGAAAATATGTATCCGAACCATACGGGTGTGTGTGTGTGTATGTGTGTGTCCCCAAAACCACTAAAACCAAACTCACTGCCATCGAGTGGTTGCCCACTCAGCGAGCGACCCTGTAGACAGGGTAGGACTGCTCCCTTTTAAGTTTCTGAGATCACCGTAACTGTTCATTGGACGGGAAAGCCTCATCTTTCTTCTGAGGAGCAGCTGGTGGTTTCAAACTGCTGCCCAGTGCACACCCACTGTGCCACCAACATGTGTAGTGGAGGAAAACGCCGGACATGACCTTTGCATGATCAGTGGAAAGACATTGATTTTTGTTCCTTAGTTGTTGCTGCTAAAAGAACGTTCTGGTTTTTCTCTTAATGTTTCAGTTTACCTGTACATTTAGTTATTCAGACGACAGCTTCTTAAAAAGCTTTCCAGTGTGCTAGTGAATTCGATTTGGTAGTTTTGTGTGTGTGTTTAATTCCTGGTTCTAGAGTAGTTCCCAGGAGACTGGAGGATGGGGAGAACGAAGGAGGTGCTGCGTGGCAATAAGAAGGCAGACGGAATCCCCCGATGGGCAGGCAACGAGTGTGCGCACAGAAGGTCGTCCAAGTTGTTTTTCGGGGGAAAGGCTCTATGTAGAACAGTGCCGTATCCCGACTGGGGTGTGTGGCTACATGAGCCTACACATGCGATAACATTGCGTAGAAATAGACACACACCTACACGTCAAACCGGGGGACTCTGCAGAAGATGGAGTTGTTTTAATGTTGATCTCCCAGTTGGCATAGGATCTCTAGTTTTGCAAGACGGTGCCATGGGAGAGAAGTGGGAGAAACTGCCCTTGGGATCTCTCTGTATGATTATTCTCTACTGCTTGAACTGTACATGGATTGACAATGTTCTTAGTAACACTTAATTTAGACAGTGTCCCTTGTTGTAAAAATGGGTAGGGTTTGACAATTCAATGGCTGTTTTGGCACTAGGTTGATATTGACGAGCGTCACTTTTTCAAATCTGTTGAAATGGAAGGGAAGGAACAGATGCTCATGTTCCTTTAAATGTAAAACATTCTCCTGTGTCTCTTTTTAGCCACGAAGACTTTGAGTTTATTTCAGGAACTCGAATGCGCAAACT